AATTCAAAAGGATTAGCTTTGTTTATTTAAAAGGACTCACTGAGACAAACTGATGACATTGCTAAAAGTATAGTTAAAGCTACAGGGACTTTTAAGAAAGATTCTGAAGAACCAATATGTCTGAAGTGACCGGGAGAAGTTAATTATCTTACCGTTGCACATGTTCCCTGGTTTATGGGTTTTTTGGGGGGCAGTGGTAGTAGGGATGGTGGAACTCAACTTTGATTGTACTACTTTATATTAGACTGTGAGTACTAAGTTCTTTTGGGACTGGAAGGAGTTCAAAAATCATACAATTCTAACCCTCTTCATTCATTCAATTCAACAATTGCCTGTTGAATTCCTTCTTTGTGCCTAACATGTGGTAGGATATCCTGAGGTGGGCGCTGGACATACCACAGTAAGCAAAACAGACCTGCCCTAATGTAGCTCACGTCCTTATGGGGAAGACAGATATTAAACAAATAGCCATATAGACATGTAGTTATGCATCATGGTAAGTCCTGTTTTTAGAGCAAAAATATGGGGACTCTGAGCCATGGATTACGAGGGTAGAATTAAATCTGAAAAGGTCAGAGAAGGCGGGGATCTTAGGTGAAGGGCATTCTGGGCTGAGGCTCTGGAACAGAAGTTATGTGTCTTATAGGGAACTGAGAGCTGGCCAGTGTCAGGGTGAGTGTTTTCTGAATGAGAAGACTCACAGTTGGGTGACAAGTGGGTTGAGATCTGAATGAGAACAACCCACTTCTGCAGAGCCAGGAATAGAAGTAGATCATCTGATGCTCAAGTTTTCTATTTCTTTCTGCCTCTAGAGAGATTTACTCAGATGCCTGGACCTATGACATTGTGCAGGTAGAACTGCTTCCACCTTAAGGAGAGTCTTGGTTCATGTCCCCGTTGCCTCCAGTCTCTGTGAGCTCAGGGTCTGGGGCCACCCACATCGCCAGGTCTACACCAACGGCCCTACACTGGTGTCTCTGTGAACCAAGCAAGGTCATTTTTACTGTTCCTTTTCCTGAAACACTGCTTCTGTTCACTCAGCATAACTTATGAAGATCAGTTATGATTGCTAAAATCATGTGATCAAAAACTAGCCAGGATAAAGTTGTATATACACAGTAAGATTGCAGCCATATAAAAATTTGTGTATTTAGGAAAGACTGGAAGGCGATAAATCAAAGTAACAGTGATATGTAGTTGGTAGGATCTTAAATGTCTTTTTTTCCCTTCCCCTTCATTTTATAGATGTTATTTAGTAAACTTTTAGTATTCTTAAAATAGAAAGTAACATTAAAATAATCTTAGGGGAATGTCAGATCTCTTCATCACCACACATATATTTAATTTTTCTTTAATGTGTAGAATGTACTCACAGGGCTTTTTAAAATGAATTACAGAGAAACACTGGATAGGAGTGTTAGCATGCTGTAAGGCACAGCGTTGGTCAAAGCCTTTCTGTTGGGTAGAAATTTTTATTTTAAACAGAATTCTGACGTCATGGAGTCAGGGGAATGCTGGCTCAAACAAAGTTAGGCAAGCTTCTCTACTGCCACACTCTCTGAAGCATTCATTGCCTAGTGGGTTTGTGAGCCCAGGAGAGAGAGAGAAAGCGCTCAGCATTCCCCAAACTCCTGGGAAGTCTTATTTGCCTAGATCCTTGCAGGCTTAGTGTTCTCTGGAAGATGCATTGGAAAATGCTGGCATGGTGAAAAGTAAAAAAAGATGGCAGCTACCCGGGCTCTAGATGGGTCTTTGAAGGCTTCACCTTCTGTACTTCTTAGGTAGATCCTTGAACTCTACTGGACACGGTCTCTCATCTCTCAAATAAGAAGATTATGTGGAAGAAACTTATAGCTCTAAGATGGGCCAGCTAAGAAAATGAGTAAATATACTGACAGTTTTACAACAATGAAAGGCAAACTTCCAAAATGCCCATACAGAATTTTCACACAATCAAGCTTTTATCTGTCCCTCAAGCTGCAAACTGTTTCCTAAGAGAAAAAATATTTGGCACAATTCGGCAGGTTAGCATTCCAGTCCACTGTGTACATAAGGTGGAAAGCCCTCAGCTCCTGTGTGACAGAATATACCACACCTGCTCAAACACTTGATAAACCAAATGTAGCAAAAGCTTTCATTTCTCCACCACCTCGCTGTCTAAGGCCTTTGAGAAACAGGACGACAGAAGGAAGGTTGGTTCCTTTGCTCTGCTAGAAGAGTGACTTTCATGTCAACAAAGAATAGAATGTCCTGATCCCAGATAAAGGCTGCTTGCTTGCTGCGGCTGCCTCAGATTTTATCATAGGCCACTGTGGTTGGAACATTTTCTGGCAGCAAGAATTCACAGACCCTCCTAGGAAACAACAGAATTTTCTGCTGTGTAAACTCTCAGCCTCTCTCAACCCCAGGAGGCTGCCCATGGTTCCAAAGGCCCCAGACGCCAGGCATTCCCCAATGGGACCGCAACAGTCACGACCTAAGTCAGTTCTTGGTTTCCTCTCACTGCAAGCCTGTTTACCGAGGAGTCTATCCAGCTTGCTCTCTCGCCAAGTATACAGGCTTTTTTCTTTTTAAGGTCATAATGTTCATTGCCATAGGGAGTCCTGCTGTGCCTAACTAGGCTGAGAACACTGGAGGTTGCGGAAGGCCAAGGATCTGCCCTCTGCTGCACACTGATATTCTCCTCATCTGGAGAAACAGAATAAAGCTTGACATCACAGCAAACTCAGCTATTAGCTATTGCCAGTGGTCCAGGGAGGTCTCTTGAATCCTCATTCTTCTTTCCTCCCTGGAAGATCTTAGGTTCTTAACAGGTAATAAGACAATATGGGAGGCTATATATCGAATGACTGCTGATTTAAGCATTATCAAGAGGCAGATGGCACTTGGAGGTCCACAGCAACAAAGTGTGGTGGGAGTGGTTAGCTCACATTTTAGGCTTGCCTCCTTTTTCTCTTCCTTCTGCTTCCTTGTTTACTTTCTTCCATGTTTCTCTCTAGCAGAGGGATAATAAATTAAAGTACAGGCACCATCATGCTCTCCTTACAAGCCCCATGGCATTTTTCCTGATTAAACTCAGGGGTGTAACCAAAGATGATCATTAAATGATCAAAAAGAGCATTCGGCAGTCTACTCCTATGTAAATACCCAAAATAAATGAGCTTATATCCAAAGAATAACATGGGCAAGGATGTTCCCGGGGACTATATTCCCAATAGTGCTGAACTGGAAGCAACTCAAATGTCATCAACAGTAGAATGGATAAAAACATAGTGCATATAATGAAATAGGAACTATTGTATAGCAATGAAGAGGGATGAACTATGGCTGCACACAGTCAGGATGCATCTAAGAGATAGGGCAGAGCAGAAGAAGCTAGACATAGAGGAGGCATGCTGTGTGAGTCCCTTTACAGCAGCTCAAAGATAGGCAAAACTCATCCATGGGGACAGAAATCAAGACAATGGTTACCCTCAGGAGGAACGGACTGAGAGGGGCAGTAGAAAACATTCTGAATCTTGATCTTGGTGGTGTGGTGTATATGGATGTGCACATATGCCAAAATTCACTGGGATGCACTTTGCTATAGCTATCCCTCACTAAAAGTCTTTAAAAACTATTGTTCTGGGGCATCTGGGTGGCTCAGTGGGTTAAAGCCTCTGCCTTCGGCTCAGGTCATGATCCCAGGGTCCTGGGATCGAGCCCCGCATTGGGCTCTCTGCTCGGTGGGGAGCCTGCTTCTCCCTCTCTGCCTGCCTCTCTGCTTACTTGTGATCTCTGTCTGTCAAATAAATAAATAAAATCTTAAAAAAAAAACTATTGTTCTGCCCTTGCTGCTATGTTTCTCTGTCTATGGAGCATAAGATCTTGGGTCTAACTCTGATCCAAACCCAGGCTCTCTCACCAATTAGCTGTGTATCTTGAGTAAACTACTTAACCTCTTTGTACTTTAATTTCTCACATGTATAACAGGGATAAACAGAGTACCTACCCTACAGGACTCTCACAAAAAGTTTCATGCAACACCTGCCCAGTAAATTTAATATTCTCATGAAATGTGATGTGTGGACTTGGCTCTTTCCCCTTTCCCCTCTGACCAACGAATTCTTTCTCATACTGTCTTTCGCCTTCTTTCTTCCCACCTTTTCCCCTTTATTCTTCCTTTCATCTCCTCTCAGTCATAAGAGCCCAAAACATGAAAATACTTACCTTTTAAAATGTATTAAATACAGTGTATGGTTATATTCATAATGAAAAATACACGCTTAGTATTTTCCATGTCTCTCTTCCAACGTCCAGGCCACATACCAGACCAATTACATCCCAAATCTGGGGGCAGAACACAGGTATCAGTAGCTTTTAAGACTCTCCAGGTGATTTTGATGATTCCAGCGTGCACACAAGTTTGGGAGCTACTGGATTTATGGTTTTCTATTCCCTCTATGTTGTCTCAGCTGCTTCAACATCTGGTTCTGATTCCTGGCTGCCCATAAGACTCACCTGAAAAGCTTCTGATCAGTAGGGAGGCTCAGGCCTCACCCTGGGTAAGGCCTGGAAAATTCTAACATGCCACCAGCACTATGAGCCATGATTCTAGAGAGATTGGTGTCCTGGTAGTTCTTATGATCAGGGCAACACCAGGCCACCTCTCCCCATGTTCATCTTGAATTAAAATATGTCTCCTTGGGGCATCTGGGTGGCTCAGTGGGTTAAAGCCTCTGCCTTTGGCTCAGGTCATGATCCCAAGATCCTGGGATCAAGCCCCGCACTGGGTTCTCTGCTCAGCAGGAAGCCTGCCTTACCCCCACCCCCGCCACCCTGTCTGTCTGTCTGTCTACCTGTGATCTCTGTCTGTCAAATAAATAAACAAAATCTTTTATAAAAATATGTCTCCTCATGTTTTTGAAGACTCTTGTCTTTGTTTCCTTCTGTTGCAAGCTGAGTATGGGGAAGCATAATGTAATCCTGATAAGTTCTTGACTTGTTGTTTTTCCCCTCAGTATGGGATTGTGCTGGATGCAGGCTCTTCTCACACAAGTTTGTACATCTATAAGTGGCCAGCAGAAAAGGAGAATAACACAGGGGTGGTGCACCAGGTAACAGAGTGCAAGCTGAAAGGTAAGAGGAAGGAAAAGGGGAGGGAGATGGCGGGGATGAGAGGAACGTATGTGAGAACATGTATGGCAGGTGGGGGGAATACATGAGAAAAAGGATGTTCACTGAAGAACATAGTGGGGCAGCTGCTGCTGCTATTTTATTGTCATTACATAAATAATATTGAAATCAGTCCTGAATGATGGAGCCCTTGAAGAAGAAACAAATGTAAAAGTTGTCAGGTCATAGTGGCTCCCATCACACATCTGTGTGTCATGCACCAAGTATGGAAAAGGCATGATTTCATCTTCACGGTCTCCCTGGGAGATATGTCCTACTATTCCCATTTTTTTTTAAATGAGGGCACTGACATAGAGAGAGGGTATGCCACTTGTTAAGGCTGCTTGAGCTAGTAAGTGATGGAACTGGGGTTCAAATGGAGATCTGCCCAATTTTGAACCCGCGACTTCTCCAGTGGCTCTCAAATTTGAATCTGCAGCAGAGCCAACTGGAGGGTTTGTTAAAACACAGATGCTGGGTCCCACCACCAGAGATTCTGATGCAGTAGGTCTGGGACAGGCCCCAGAATTTGCATTTCTTACAGGTTCCCAGGTGATGTTGATGCTGTTGGTCCACAGAATTGTTGCCCTTAGTCTTTATCCTCTAAGCTACAGCTTGGAAGAAATCACAGATTCCTAGGGCTGGAGCTTGCAGGTCATTCAAATCTTGTTTTCAAAGAAGGAAGCAAAAACCTGGGAGACTAGTGACTTACAAGTAGCAACAGACCCAGGACAAGAGTCTAGGTCTCTTTCTTGCACTCCAGGCTTCCTTCTACTCTGAATTGCCACATTACAGATTGATTTTTTTTCCTCCCTAGTTTTCTTCTAAGGTCACAGAACAGGTTAAAGTTGTCAGTTCAGCCCTTTCCACTCCCTCCACTCAACACCCCAGCAAGCACCAAGTGTTACTGTACCACACTGTCTTCTCTGACCTTGATCTCTCTGGGCCTTTTGAGGTAGGGTCCCATTATTTCTTAGACAGGTATCTTAGCTCCCAGAAGACTTTTACTTTGATGGTCTGTGAGGTCCCCCAATTTTCAAAGTGTCCCTAGAAAGCAGTAGAGAGGAGATGTTTCCAAGGAGCAGGTCATTTTACCCAGGAGCCTGATATCCTCAGACATTGGACACATCCGTTGTGAGACAGAAGGTTGAGCGTTTCTTAAGCCCAAATCCCTCTTTTTTTTTTTTTTTGGCTTCTATTTAATTCATTGCCTTCCATTTTTTAAGAAGTGTTGGTATTTTTTTAAATCCAGCAGCTATCTTTTTTTCTGAGACTCATTCCAGATATGTCTGGCCAAAGAAGTGCAGGACTTTTCCCCTCTCAAAAGAGAGAGAGTTCTCTAGTCAAATATTTAGATGAAAGGTGAGTGGAAAAAATTCTCAAAGGCCATAATTTTTGAATCAAAACAGTTACCTGATAACTTAGAGCTGATCTTTTCATTACTGTTAAACCGGCTCTTTAAAAATCTGTGAAAGATATGGATCACATATCTGGCCAAAGATCTTTAATGCACATTTTCACTAAAGTGTAGATGTTTATTTTAAAGAGAGCTGAGATTGATAAGCATAACTTACCAAAAAACCCAACTTCTTAGCAACAGTTAGTTTTGCTCTGGAATCAGAAAAACAGTTTTACTAGGGAAACCAGGTTTTCAGAGAGGAAAAATTGCCAAGGAGACATGGATTCTATACCTGTTTATTCTAATAAAGGAAGAAACTCTGCTTCAGAAATTTCAGGGAACTGTCCATGATCACATAGCTAGTTAGCAGCAGTTACTGTCTTTTCAGTAAAAGCCTGGTGTTTATTTTAATTTTTCTAAATTCCTTAATAATAAGGAATAAATTCCTTATTTCTCCTTTTAGGTCTTCTAGGAATTAGTGGTGTTAGTTACAGTTTTGTAGAAAAAACATCAAAAAGCAGATCTATAGGGTTACTATAAGCCCCATTTAATTTTTTAAAAAAATATTTTATTTTTTTATTTGACAGAGATCACAAGTAGGCAGAGAGGCAGGCAGAGAGAGAGGAGGAAGCAGGCTCCCCGCTGAGCAGAGAGCCCGATGTGGGGCTAGATCCCAGGACCCTGGGATCATGACCTGAGCCGAAGGCAGGGGTTTTAACCCACTGAGCCACCCAGGCACCCCCCCATTTAATTTTTTTAATTCAATTTTTATTTAAATTCTAGTTATTCCCCCTTAAAAATGTGAGAACCTATTAGGGAGATTATGCAATTGAATGTGAAAATTGCGCCATCCAGCGGCAAAATTACTGAACAGTGGACAGACCCAGCCTGAGGTCTGAAAATAGATCCTACCAAGGCCAGGTTCAGAGAGTTACCCTCAAAGTATAGCAACCTAACCTACATTACATCAAGAAATTGTCTTCTTTGGTTTTCTCATAAAATGCCACTGTTTTGCTCTAATATTGCCCAGGTGTGTCCTGTACTTTTAAAAAAGATTGTCATTTGCTTCTACATCTTTCCTTAGGTCCTGGAATCTCAAGATATGCCAAAAAATTAAGTGAAATAGACATTTATCTGATGGCATGCATGGTAAGAGCCACTCAAGTGGTTCCAAAGTCCCGGCACCAAGAGACCCCTGTTTATTTGGGAGCAACAGCAGGCATGCGGTTGCTCAGGTATTGTAGCATGTGGGGACACAGTGTCGGGGGTTAGGCTGGTAGTGTGAGAGCCTCTGAAGTTACAGGATAGCACCACACTTCCCTAACACCCCACCTTCTAAATATCCTACATGTCCACACTGCAGGAAGAAAATCTCAGTAAGTGGGTACAACTCCCAAATTCTTAGTATGTGTAATGGTGGGAGTTCAAGTGTGTGAAAGAAAAAGTCCTCCTGCCCATCTCCCTGCAGAGAATTCAAGGGGGCTGGGGCACAAAGAGAAATGTTGAGCCTGTGTTCTCTGGGATTTGAGGCTACCAAGTGAGCCATCCAGTATCTGGGAGGAGAAAGACCAGAGGAGAGCCACGGATGTCCCAAGACCCAAATAATCACAAGTAGCACATCTTCTTTGGTCACTGCTTAGTACCCTTATGGGAGATGAGAGTTTCGATACAGGTCATCAGTTCTTTAACAGAGGAGTGCTCAGAGATACTATGGGAGCATACTTGGCCCTGCTCAGAATGGGAGAAGAGTACACATGAGCTGAATCACAAAGGATGAGTTGGAGGGCGGGCAAAGGGCATATTAGAGGCGGAGAAGATGTCACACATTCCATTACCTATGTTTCTTCCACATCTGCTTTGTGGCAGACACTGTTCCAAGTGCTGGGGATACAGGAGTGAAGAGAACAAAGTCCCTGTCTTCCTGAAGCTTGTATTCTAGTAGACGTGCAAAGGCAGGGATGAGTGAGAGACCAGGGCTTATTCAGAGGACTATAAATAGTTCTGCATAGATAGAACATAGGCTACATATAGTAAAAAATAATAATAAAAAATGATGAAGCAGCTTGTATTTGTTGAGCTTTTGCTATGTTGTTAGACCTGTGCTTAGTCATCACAACTCTATGAAGAGGCATTATTAACTATTATTAATAATAATAGATAAGGAAGCTGTGACTTACAAATGTTGAGTAAGTCACCCCCAGGTCAGTCACATGCCTGGTAAGTTGTAAAGCCAGGGTTCTGAGTGGAATTCCAAAGAGGCAGGGTCCAGCTCACAGAGTGGCTTGTGGGCCAGGCTGGGAATTTGGTGTTCGTCTGAGAGATAATGGGAAGCTGTTGGTCACACTGGGAGAGAGGTGGATTGGGAGTGGGAGAAGGGGAGGAAAACTGGGGACAAGGAAGCCAGGCGTAGGGTGTGAAGCTATTCAGATGAGTGTTGAGAGGGTTCAGTGCTGGTTGGAAGGCGGCATCCTCTGGCCCAGAGCCTCTCAATGTTGGGAGTAATTGCATCCCATTTTCACTAGGACACCACTGGGAGATTTTTTTCCCAGTCTGGCCCCCCAGTGGAGGTTGGGTATCTGCTACCAGGTATCTGACTCCGGAACCAGCTGGAAGCCACCAGTGATGGCTAATGTAGCATTTGTCATCTCCAGGTATAGTGATTAAACAACATCCAGCCACCACCACCACAAAAATGAAAATTACTTTGATAATATTTAGGAGCAACAAAAAAAAATGGTATTTTTAGGAAGAGCAGTCTATGTAGGGACCGGAAGGATCTGGATTTGGAGAGGAGGGCCAAGATACTAGTTCTGCCTCACCCAAAAGGAGGGCTCCTCAGACAGCCGTGTGTGGGGATCTCCATCCCTTCGTTTATTCCAGGGAGTTAGGATTCGCTTCCTAGGAGAACTGCTGGAAGCTGTAACTAAAAGGAGTACTTGTAGTTATTCAAGCAGAACCGGTAAACACAGCTCTTCCTTTGCGCAGGATAGAGAATGAGCAGTTGGCAGACAAGGTCCTGGCTGCGGTGGCGAGGAGCCTCAGCAACTACCACTTCGACTTCCAGGGTGCCAGAATCATCACCGGCCAGGAGGAAGGTGCCTATGGCTGGATTACCATCAACTACCTGCTGGGCAAATTCACTCAGGTGATCATCTCGCACCCAGGGAGGTGGCTCCCCGAGGTGGGGGGGGGTGTCAATGCCATTGCGGTCGTAGGCAGTATAGGGATCTGTAGCCAGAATGAATGCTGGTGAATGGACACGTTAATTTATCCCCACATTTGCAAGAATTTTATTACAAGAACTTTTTCTTTTGGAGAATAAGGAAATCATATCTTCACTTTAGGGAGGCAGAGAGGAAATTAAATATCTATCATTAAAAATAAGAATAGCTAATATTTGCCTAGTGCTATGTGTCTCGTATTGTGCTAAGCACTTTTTTTTTTTAAGATTTTATTTATTTATTTGACAGACAGAGATTATAAGTGGGCAGAGAGGTAGGCAGAGGGGTGGGAGAAACAGGTGCCCTGCTGAGCAGAGAGCCCGATGTGGGGCTTGATCCCAGGACCCTGAGATCATGACCTGAGCTGAAAGCAGAGGTTTAACCCACTGAGCCACCCAGGCGCCCCATAAGCACTTTTCATGTACTGTCTGATTTCACCTTCAGAACAACTACATGAGGAATTCTTTCATTTTCAAGTCTCAGATTGAGCCCTAGAGAAGGTAGTTATCTGCTCAGGGTCACATGGCTAATGAGCAAATAAGTGGAGATTTGAACTTGAGTCTTTTCAGTTCAGACTCCTTGATTGTAAACACTGGCTATGCCACTTCTGTGTTGCTGCAGTCTGAGCTCTATCTTTGAAGCCCCTCTTTTCCTGCTATGCTGATGTTCCTTGTTGATGTGATGCAGACTGAGGAGCGTCCAGTGAGCTTTGTGTCACCTTATGCCCCCTTTCCCTCACCCCAGGAAGTCCCCGAGTCTAAGATATAGTGTGAAACAGGTGTTCAGAGACTGCTACCACTGTTGACTGTACTCTCTTTCAGAAACTGAGTTGGCTCAACCTGAGGCCAAATGAAGACAGTGCTCTTGAAACCTACGGGGCTTTAGACCTTGGGGGAGCCTCTACACAAATCACTTTTGTGCCGCAAGACAAGAAGATCGAGTCTCCAAGCAATGCTCTGCACTTCCGCCTCTATGGCAGGGACTACAGTGTGTACACGCACAGCTTCTTGTGCTATGGGAAGGATCAAGCACTCAGGCAGAAACTGGCCAAGGACATTCAGGCAAGTATAACTGAATCCAGACCCACCCTCCCCACATCTGGGGCCACCAGCCCCCACATCCTGTTGTTGTTTCTATCTACTTCAGTAATTGGTCTGAACTTGGTTACTGTACTTTCCAAACCTTCTCAAGCAGGATATCTAACTACATCTGGTCGACCCCTGTGAATCGTCCCATCCAGACATCACCTCCTGTGTTTGTTTACTGCACTTTCTCCAAGGACACGACTCAAATCCTTTCTTGCAAATAATTTCTCAGCCCTGTGGCCTTGACAGTGAAAATTACATGCTCAAGTATTGTTGAGAGGGATGTGTAATTTACAAGCTCTTAGCTTTTTTTTTGTTTAAATATATCTTTTTTATTAACATATAATATATTATTAGCCCCAGGGGTACAGCTCTTAGCACTTTTTAGAAAACTTTTAGAAAACTGGGTTGTTAGAAACAACCTCTAAGTTTCATTTAGAGAAAACACGAGAGTTTATCCATCAACACTTCGCGTCTTGTCCCCAGACGCTTTTTGTCTTCTGAAGACAAGGAAAGTTAAACATACTCAAAATCATGTGAGTACCAGGAACACCCTGACAAACACACACAGAGCAAGCCTGTCACACCCAGCTGTTCCCTGTCTCCACTGAAAGGATAACCAGTTCTCTGTTCTCCAAAGCTCCTGCTCTGGTTCTCAGAAGCACTGTCAATAGGTAACTCCCACTGGAGTAGGGGATGCTGAGAGATGCCTACTGAGCCCCAAGGTTCCACCAAGGAGACCCCTTTCTTCACACAAGCCAAGCCCCCTTTATTCCTTTGAACATATCATTGTAGGTTAAAAGTCATTTTGATACTCCTGGCTTAAATGATCTAAGGTAATTTCAAGGCATGTTGCTTCTGATTTTTTGCTTGGAGGTTGGTGTGGGGGGCATGGGCAGACTTCTCCTGGAGAACTATCCAAGGCTCAGACTTGTGAGAGTCTTGAGAGTTTTTCTTGTGAATCTGCTTCTGACCTATGTATTTCATTTGTACTAACTAAGCACTAGGGGACATTTCAAACTAATGGCATTTCTGCCAGCTTGAGCTCTATTAGCTTTCTATGAATAGCAAAAGTTCATTCACATCTGATACCATTTCTGGTACCTAGTATACAAATCTGACTGTTCCCAAGGGTGAAAAAGGCATGGCAGGGGCATATTGATGCCAATGCTAAGATATTATAAAATTCCTACACATTAAGGAAGTCAGAGTAGTGTTTTTTGCACCCAGCATGTTTGCACATGATGTCTTCAAGTGATTTTTCCATTCAGGGTACAAACGGAACCCTCAGGGACCCATGCTTTCACCCTGGATACGAGACAGTAATGAACGTAAGTGACCTCTACAGTAGTCCCTGCACCAAGAGATATGAGAGGACTCTTCCATTCGATCAATTTCAAATCCAGGGCACTGGAAATTATCAACAATGCCAGCAAAGCATCCTTCAGCTCTTCAACACCAGTTACTGCCCTTACTCCCACTGTTCCTTCAATGGGATCTTCTTGCCGTCACTTCACGGGGATTTTGGGGTAAGTTTGTAAAATAATAAGGTATATTGGTTAGGACGATTTGGGTTGCAAGTTGTGGAGTAGGTGCCTATGAAGGGTTTAAATAGTAGGATTTATTTTTTTCCCATATGATAACAAGTCTTTAGGTAGATAATTCAGGTTAGTTCTTTGGTTTAACAATGTCAGGATTTGGGATCAGCTTTTCCATTATGTTCTTGGTCTTTATTTGTGGTGCTAAGATGGCAGCTACTGTTTCACATGCAAAAAAAGAAAGAAGGAAGTTTCTGTTGATTACATTTCTGTCCAGTTTTGCAGAAGTACCAACAAATGTCTTTTTCAGATGTCATTGGCCAGAATTTGGTGAAATACACACTTCTAAACCAATCTGTGATAAAAGGGAATGGATTACTGTGTTTGGTTTAGACTAATGATGGTTCATCCTTGGAACTGGGGAGTCTTTCCTATACATAGTGCTTTTTTCTACATGGGTGAAATCAGGAATCTGTAAGCTAGAAGAAGGAGCAGGCTGTTGGGTTGGCACACCCACTGGGATCTGCTGCTTAATGTCAGTGATCTGGCTTCTTAATGTCAGAAGGAGGAAAGGCGGCAGTTAGAGGTCTCAGCTAAAGGCTTTCCTCTATAAACTGAAGTTAAAAACTCAAGAAATCCCAAGGAAATATTGAGGATAGCATCATTTGCATTACATTTTGAACAGCTGGGGGGCTCTTTGAATCCCAGCTCCACTTCCTTCTTAATTACTCTAGAACAAGATAAAATATTTGAGCAGAGGTAGACAAGGTACCCCTTTATATAATAATTCAAATTTCATATTTTGGCCCTGGAGACAAAGCATTATTGTAATCATAGTTTAGCAGAATATTGCAAAATTCTCTACCACCAATCAAGAGCTAGTTACAGACTAAATAACATATATGCATTATCTTTTTAATTACTTAAGATATCATACATAGAAACAAAGGCTTTTGTCTGCCTTCACACTCTTTCTCCCTTTTTCAGAAAACAGCATGTGAGAAGGGAGGTTCAACTTTCCTATGGGACCCCAGAAAGAGAGGTTTCTCCCAAGTCTCCTGGCTCAGCCCATTGTCACAGAAAGAGATCCCTGAATAGAGCACAGGCCTTATAGTAATTGTACCTGGTTTAAAATCTGGCTTTGCCACTTGAGAACTATATGAGCTCTTAATTCCTATCATCTCTGGGAAAACAACAATGGGCGGCACCGTTGATCCAGGCTTACCTTTACCATGGCCCAGACCACAGTTACTCCTCGCCTCGAGGCTCCTGAGGGAAATAACATGCCAGGACAATGCCTGGCAGAGTAATACTTGGTGACTATTTAGCTCTAAACCTAAGTTCAGAACCAACTAGAACCTCACCTGGATGCCCTTTACCTAAGCTGGCACTGGTTGCCCATATTAGACTTTTTTGGGCCCTTGCCTTGAATCTGTTGGATGATAGAAGAGGGGGCCATGAAAGGGAGGAAGGTAGCTAGGGGTGCTGGGACAGCCAAGGGTCCTTTTCATTCCAGTCCCTGAAAGGAAGTACCTCTGAAGGAAAGGAAAAATACTGTTGTGTATTGACTTTTTAACATTTCACCTCCTGGGAAACATAGCCCAATTCCTGTCTTCAAGCTTGAGCAAACCCTTTCTGTTGAGGATGGCAGTAGTGGAATTTCTTGCCTTTGAAAGTGATTCCTCCAACTTAGGTAGGGAGAGGTGGAGTTGGAAGGGGTGAAGGAGGCTTGAGCTCCCCTGGGATGCCTTTGTTTGGTCTCTTAGTCCCTCACTGAAATTGGTCTCCTCACAGCCTTCTGAACCTCAGCTTGACAATCTTCTTGGATTAGCTCATTGCTTTCCCCTGAATAGGATCTTTTCCCTCTGAATATAGCCCTTAGGGTTAACATGATACCTGTACCTATTCCTGCTTTGTCAGTTTCTGTTACAAAACTTGTTTTTTCCCTCTGTAATTTCTCCATAAAGTCTAAAGATTTTTTGAGCCTATTTCCTCATTTATAGAATGAGGACAGAAAATCTGTGATCAGATTTTTAATTTCCAAATTAGGGATTAATCTTACTATATAAACCTTTACTTGATTGGTGTCTATAACCTGTGGGCCCATATTTAAGCAGCAACTGAGAATAGTAACACTCTAGGCCATCGTTAGAGAACATAGAGCCTCAAAAGTTCAGCTCCTCATCTTCCAGTTTCCAGCTTAGATAATTAATATTTATGGAAGAAGACCTGAAAGATGTATGTCTCCCCTTTTCCAGCCACTCTGAATTCTTTCTTTCTATCAAGTTGAGCATCTATCAAAGACCTCTACTGCCTTAGTCCATCACAGAATTGCTATGACTGAGTTGGCTTTTTAATATTATGCCTCTAGGTTACAGTTGCTATAAGAAATTGCTATTTTAAGAAATATGGTTGAAGACATTGTCTAATAAAATCTCCTTTATAAAATATCCTTGAGAATCAATTTCAGAATATCTCTGCTTTGCCCTGGGACTGGGTATGCTACACGTAATGAAAACTATATTTGATTATGTCTTATTTTTTCCCCTTGGCTACTAGGAAGCTCAGAGCTAAACACACACACACATACACATGCAAGTATATGTATACCCATGGAAACAAACAAGTTTTTAATGTTCTTTAATTCCAGTTCGCTCTTGAATTTGTTTTATATTCTTTCTTGTTTATATAAGTGATATGATGTGAGCTTTTAAAAATTTCCTAAATTACCTCATAAATAATTCCCTGCAGATGTTCCCTGTTCCTTTTGGGTGTTTCTAATTTGCCCACAAATTGGATTCTGCCTAGCAACCAATGTAGCCAAACTAAGACAAATGACAGCTTTTTATACTCTATTTACAGAGTTTAAGAATTAAATCACCAGTGCTGAATGCAACTGTGGCAAATAGTCCCTCCCTAAAAATGCTGTGGCTTGAGAACACCTAGGCTAACTGGTCCTGGAAATAATTGGAATGCAACTGCATTTTTGTGTTGCAAATAGTTATGCTTCCAGACACAGGACTGGGTGGTGGGAACTTCTGCAGGTATAACAGCCTAGAGAAAGGACTGTTAGGAGAAAGAACTCACCTTACTAAGGACCCACCTGGTGCTAGGGTATGTTAGCTTTCTGCTATTGGCAGTGATATGCTAGAGGTGGCTCTTTCCCACTCACAAGAGCTAGCTGTTAAAATTTGAAGAGTTTTGTGAGCCCACTGATGTCTGTCAGGTGGTCAGTTTGGGGCAAAACTTGTCACTAGACTATAATACTATACTATACTATACTATACTATACTATACTATACTATAATATAATACGTGTCCCTTCTGTGACTATGGGTGCTTCATTTAATCTTTATTCCAAAGTGCTAGCAATATGTTTTGGATTGGATCTTTGGAAAAATGATTTGACAAACCCCCTTTCTTCCCTTACAAACTTGGCTTTGGGTTATTTTTCCGGATTTGTTTCCCTGGAAACGTGATAAAAATAGGAGTGTCAGTTGTATTACTAAGCAACAGTTCTTATGAAAAAAATGGCCCCTGAAATAAAGTGTATCTGGATTGGAAGAAATTAATGAACTATGCTTACTCTGTGGGCTTCTCTAGTCTGAATAAAGGCTTATGTATGTAGATTATGTAACAAAAGGCTTTATTTTTATAGGACTTATTTACCCGACCATCATACCCTCTGTTACTTGTTTGAGTTGCACTATCTTCCACTAGAGGGGAGGGATTTTCATCTGCTTCCGTCACTGTTTGGAACATAGTTGTTGTTCAGACAATAGTTGTTGAATGAATGCATGCATGATGTGCAGCCAAAAGAAAGAAGAGGGGGAATGAAAAAACAATGGCTGTTGATTTTGCCAATTAGGAGGTTACTGGTGATTTTAATGAGCATAGTTTTAGAAGCCATGTCAAAGTAAACAGCTCCCTTGGATATGCTCTAAAGCTGGGGTCGCAGGGAGGAGAGTGGGTAATTGATACCACAAAAATAAGAAAAAATTTGAGAGAGAATAGATGTCACACTGAAAACAGCTCAGTTAAATTGAACAGGAATGCATGTATTGCATTCTGCGTAGGTTAAAAGTTGCACAAAATTGGGTGCCTGGGTGGCTCAGTGGGTTAAAGCCTCTGCCTTCAGCTCAGGTCATGATCCCAGGGTCCTGGGATCGAGCCCCACATCGGGTTCTCTGCTCAGCAGGGAGCCTGTTTCCCCCTCCCCCCAACTCTCTGCCTTCCTGCCTACTTGTGATCTCTGTCAAATAAATAAATAAAAATCTAAAAAAAAAAAAAGTTGCACAAAATTTGGCTGGCAAGAATGGGTATTGTCTTTATAGGTTGATATATCTGTCTCCCCAGCTACATCTCGAGGGCCTGGAAGGCACAGGTGGTGTACATTTCATCTTTTCATTTTTAGGCCTGCTAGATATATTATTGCTAGAATGCCTGGAATATTGTATATTCTCAGTAAAAGAAGGTCAGTATTTGGAGTATTCTAGTGAGATGTCCAGCATGCACAGAAGCCTGAAGGTGAGAAAGCATGAAGTGTGTTCAGAGACCTGAAAGTAGTTCAATGGGTTTTTCCATGTAGGCAGCCAGGAGACTTGCCTCTGGTATTTTAGAAGGTTTTCCCCCTAAGCTTACCGATCACCTTTGTGATCATTAGATGCCTTTGTTTGAGGTTTATGATCTGTAAACCCAGAGATTTCTACAGTACAGGAAAATGGTGGTGATTTTAGGAAGACTGAAAATGAAGATGTGGTTCAGGGGTTTAGAAAGAAATGATTTTGGGTTTTAGAATAAATGAATAACACTGTTTAAGGGGCATATAAAGGAACATTTGTGGGACTCACAGGAAATAAAACATATTTTAAGCTTCAGGGAAAAATTACCTCCTACAGTTATAAAGCGATCCAACCTTTTTGAAAGAAGATCTTATAAGGGGGCACCTGGGTGGCTCAGTAGGTCTGATTAGTTTCAGCTCAGGTAATGAC